TGCAAGACAAACGAATGGACATGCGAGCCACAAGGACATACACAATATTGCACAGACGTCTAGCAGTAACGGATATTTTCAGCTATGAAAGTGTGATAGGCGGCCTCAAAAAGCGAGGCCGGTGCTCCTCAAAAGCGCATAACCTTGTGGACTCGTGTCATTGTCGGTCGCATGATCTTAGTAATCATGAAGGTGCCTGATGTACAGAACGCCTCCCCAAAAAACAATAACCACGCAAGATGACTCCAGATAGCTTGCCAGCCTGAATCCATTTCTGGGCGACGTCGAAATGCTTCTTGTGCCGAGGAAGCTTCCAAGCCCTTCCTGATGCCCGAGAGACCTGTGCCTTGGGCCAAAAGAGTGGACGGAATCATCGAGTTCCAACCGGTTGGCATGCCCTTTGGAATCATGGTTACGTGGATGGCATGGCCCCAGGATGACCAGATTCCACTTCCATGGTTTATATATGTTTATATGATATACTCCAGGGAATGTAAGGCCCCTCAAGTCCAAGGTGATGTTTGTTTTGCGGGTGATGATGTCTCAATACAGTGCCGCCATTTGGTGGAAAGTAATGAGAGATATTTGCATTCGCGCAGGCCTTAGTACCGAGCCCGCGGTCGGAAGGCGTGGCGCATTTTACTGCAGCACACGCAGTTTCTCTTCAAGGATTTGAAGTACATAGCCGCTCATGCAAGCAAGCGAGCAAAATCAAGCACACGGTTTTAGCTATAAATTAAGGGGTGTTGGAAAACAGCTATTTAGGCAGGAGTTCATGGTCAAATAAAGAAGAATTTCACAGGCCATCGGGTGTGCAATCTTTGGTCGGACACCTGCTTGCATTTCCTACGTCCTTCCTTCCTCTTGTAAGGATAGTTGACAGAGTGGTTTGCCAAGTGGTCTACCTAGAATGTGGCCCAAAACCTCCATTTGGAAGCAAACCAAGATCAAAAGTGGGTCAAGACGATGTCAGACACATCAAGGCAGGATCACCAAACAAAAGCTATCAGAACCCAAACCAGGAAGTTCTTTGATTTTCATAAAGCAGGATGACGAACATACCTTTTTCTTTTCCGCAGCGGGGTTCGGATGAAGACTCAAGAAGCTTCACTCCACAACTCCCAACTATACACTATGCCCCAACTACGCTAGCTTCAAGAGAAACTACAGTATACTACAGTATATATATATACTTCTACGTGCACGTGTGCATTTCTAAATGCAGGTTTTCCTAAAATGCCCTAAATTTGTCCTTTGGGGATGCCACTTGATGAAGAGTTGATAGGAAGCGGAGGTGATATCACTTTCTGACCCAAGTCGATGTCACCAGCTTCTCGGTTTCGGTCAGCGACTCAACGACCTGGTAAGGATGGCCTTGGGATGAACGAGGAAGACGAGGTGCGAAAGACAGAAAAGAACACACGCAAGTTTAGTTTGACATATGTTTTAGTCCTTCTTTCTGTGTGTTTCACGATATTTCACGATGTGTTTTTCTTTCCTCGCGCGTTACTTCGGAGGGTGATTGGTTCACTTCGGACGTTTGCTTCACCCACGGAAACGGCTCTTCGCTGCCGCGGTTGGAAGGCGGAAAGTGGCTTGGAAAGTCGGCTGGCAGAGCTCAAAGGCACGGCGGGTACATCAGTTGGTCCAATTCAACCACGAACATGGCACAGGGAAGCTAGCCGTTATGCTGTACTTTTCATGAGGATTCTTGAGCTAGTTGGATGTTCCGTTTGCACAGCGGCATAGGTGTCTTGGGCATAGGTGGTCTTGTCGGCAGCTGTCTCGAAGATCCACCATGATTCCACATGTATTTATGGAAGCCGGGGTATATTGCAATGGAACCAAACCTGCCGCCACAGCCGACTCCACACTGGAGGAAATCGCAGCGGGGTGATCTTTTTTTCTGAACATGTCTTTTTGTCCATGATCCGAAAAAGGATCGACCCATCCTCGGATGTTTCTTTGGTTTTGCGTGGAGTCCTCAACAACCAGTGCTGGACAACCAGTGGTGTGGTCCCAGTTTGTCAGCCCTCTTTCCAGGTTCCTGATGCAAACAGTAACATATACTATAATAAGTTACTACAATATTATAGAACTTGCCAGCAATGCCTTCAAGAGGCAGGAGGCTTGTCATGCCAACGATCCCTACATTAAATCTCAAGCCTTTCTTTTCAACGGCGCTGTTTGAGGCCGTCCTGCTCACCTTTCCAAAAGCATCGATGCCATCGAGATCGCATGGAACAAGCCCTGCGATCGAGGCGAGAAAGGGCTCCAACTTGCCGGTCCAGATGGGCGCAGTTGGTGGGTGTTCTTCTTTTGCCCATGGCCCTGCCTCCATACTTAATTGATGAAGTAAGGCGCCCACTTAAATACTGTAAGTAAGTCGACTAGTTCGAGTTCGCTACTAGGAGAAGTTCGCTCCTAGCTAGGACGGAGGATAGCTCACACTTCTTCAAGCAAGCTCCCCTCGCCTGATGGCAGAGGGCCTTCCTTGAAGAAGCGCTCGCACTAATGATTTGGTTCCTAGGTGTATAGGGAAACTTAACTTATAGATATAATTAGCAAGGTTGGTGTTATGACCTAAAAACATCTAAAAACACTCTCGTCCGATGGGATGTGTTTCGCTCGCGCTGCCAGCTGCTAGGCTGTGAGATTGAGACCTATGAGTTCCTCATCAGCCTCTGAGATGCATCAATCACATCCCCAGGACCACCATCAATGTTGGTTTAGGGCGTTCATGAGTACCCTGGTCTAAACAATGTCTATGGAAAAGGACCCCCTCCGGAAGACAGCTGTCCTCCTCCTCCTCCTCCTCCTCCACAACAACAACAACAACCACAACGAACAACGAACAACGAACAACGAACAACGAACAACAACAACAAACAACAACAACAACAACAACGACAACGACAACGACAACGACAACGACAACGACAACGACAACGACAACGACAACGACAACAACAACGAACAACGAACAACGAACAACGAACAACGAACAACGACAACAACAACAACCACAACGACAACGACAACGAACAACGACAACAACAACAACAACAACAAAGAACACCAACACCAACAGCAGCAGCAGCAACAACAACAGCACCAGCAGAAACAGGAGGAGCAAGAGGAAGAACAACAACAGTACTGGTCGGAGCAACGCTGGGTGGGAATCAACAAAAAGAAGGATCCCCGGCTGGGCTTTTGTCCCTCAATTTCACCCTTTCGGTGCCGAATGACGAGCGCCACGGGATGGGTGACGGGTGGTCAGCTCAGTCAGGTGAGGCGTTGTTCGAATTGAGCGGCCATAGCATCAAAGCGTTCGCTGCGAAGCGCTGCAGAAGCATTTGCCAGAGCATAGTAGGGACATTGCGTATGAGATTTATCACGAGAGGGTGGGTCTGGTGGACGGTTTTCCATTGAATTTGTGTTCCACATGGTTTCTATCTTTGGGAGTGATGTAGGTGTCAACTCCATATTTTGCCCTGCTGCAGTGGAACAGTTGAACGGTTTTCTTTACTGTTGGGCCCATGAACAAATCCCGTTGACCCAGCCTAGGCTTGTTGCAATTTGTGGGCACAGGGTTTAAGTCTGAGGGATGTTGAGTCTATTGGGAAGCTTTTGCTGGAACAGATCGTGTCTTGTGGTTCTGGTTCGGGTCGACCCCACTCCTGTGATGACCAGGTCCGTTCACCGGTGCGGGCAGTGGCCAATCTCCAAGGAGGTTCACCAGACTGAGCTAAAACCAGGTGGGGGGCCCGTAGCACACTCATGTTTTTCGATTTGAGGCACTGCCCATGTGTTCTTGGTTGGGGGGGGACGATGATCAGTGTCAAAAGACTTGGAAAGCAGGAATCCGGAACGAAAGTGTCCGCAACGTTGGAGACCAGCAGAATGACCACTTCACCAGGTGGTGTGTGAGTGTGTGTATCTTATTGTATGTTGTTTTCACCCTGGTTTCTGGACGAGTGTTTTTCTAATCGCGCCGAACAGAAGCGCGCTGCTTGGGGCGGAGTGCTCGGTCATCGCGCCTGAGGCCAAGACCCGAAGTTCCCCAAGCACGATACCAGGCAGGTCCGTGTGGCAGGTCCGTGTGTTTCTGGCTTTGCTTTAGAAAACCTAGGTCCGGCCATTTCATCAAGCGTGTTTAGTTCCGATGCCCTACAGAGCTCAGGAGAAAATATGAAGAAAGCGGCTCAGCCTATGCAGTCATCCCATATCAGAGTCATTCAAAGTCATTGTTTGCATGCATGCACCGTATCGGCTGCATTCGGCTGCCGTACTACACCCTTTGGAAAGCACCGAAGTTACCGGATCTTTTTGGATCGCTGCCGCCGCCGCAGCCCAATTTGAAGCGTGGCTGTGATGCAACTATCCCTTCAGCTCATTGACCAGCTATGCAGCATCAACAAGTCCAAGATTTCTTGCAGTGAACAGGTGTGTCTCAACTGGAGGATGTGGGAGTAACAGCATTCAACAATGACTCAATGCAGCTCCTCTAGGGAAGGCTTGCCAGTAGGCCCAGTAGGCTAAGCTGAAGCAGAACAGAGGTCACTGAAACATAATTACATATAATTACCTAAAGTCCTCAAACTATTGCGCTTGTCCGGACCACCTGATACACGTCGGGTCAAAGGTCCCCAAGAATCTCCATGCAGCACCCTTCAAAAGAAAATAGGAACAGGAACGCTACTAGGGGCTCCTGGCATCGCGATGGTTTGAAGCATCCTGACGTGCGAAGGGTGATCGCTCAGTCAGCTCCCCTGTGATGTGTGCTTCACGGTCCACGCCTGTCAGCTCATCCCCTTAACTGGCGTGGAGTAGTGGCCCGCCCGTTCGCCTAGTGTTGGTCGCGGGGATTGACCCCGGGTCCCTGGCATGAGGCGTCACAGCCACTGGTCAGTAAGTAGACATCACTAGACCATACCGGCCCTCCTCCCCTGTGATGCATGTCCAGTTGCATGTGCGTGTGTCTCCAACTAACATCCCCAAAAAGACTCCTGGAAGGATCCTCTCATTTTGAGCAATGGCGGTGGTTCTCAATGCGCGGAGCGATGCTCTCCAAGTAGAGTGCTCTCAAGTGGTGATCGATGGCATCGAATGCACCGAGACCATTGTCAAATGGACGGGTGTAGCGAGTGACTTGGCAAAGCTCAGCCTTAGGACCTTAGTCTTGCAAGCTCATCAGAAAGTTTGGCCCCCGCTTTTCATCCCACCATGTTGCTGTCTTCCATGGCTTTCTGTTTTTATATGTTTTTATATAACTCCGGATCCATCCAGAGATCGACGAAGAAGCCAACATTCTATATAGCACCTTCATGCACCTTCGCCATCCTTCACTGTTGTTTTTTGCGGGCACTTCCATACAATCGTACCAGTTGCGTCGATTTGCCTTTGCTCCTGGCTCAAGCCGACCCAACTGTAACTGAACCCTCCGATTATCTCCGATTCCTCCTCGCTCCTGAATCGCACCATGATGCCGCTGTTGCTGCCGCTGGCCGCAGCATTCGCTTCCATGGCTTCGGCAGCCAGTGAATCCTGCGAGGAGAGCGCGCTGCTGCAGAAGAACCTCGCCGCACTGAAAGAGCTGAAGACGGAGAAGCAGATGCAGGAGGCGGAGCTGGGAGGAGATGCAGCATTCAGACGGGCACCATTAGGTACTTTCCCACACACTTCCTTCCTGTGTTTTTCTCCCCATCGAAGTGAAGTGACGCGGTTGGGTGTCATCCGTCCACCGACTGGATCAACCAGTGCACCCCCTAGTATTCTGGGATCCTTCGTTCAGAATTCCACGCACCGCCGCAGCTATTTCTGATGTTTTCTGTCTTTTCTGTCTTTGTGGAATGTGTTATTTAGTTGGGGAACGACCCTCCGGACGACATCCAAAACGACATTGGAACGACCTCCTTAACTACGTACATCATGTATTTGCTGCTGCTGCTCTTGCTCCTCTTGCTCCTCCTGCTCGTGCTGTTGCTCCTGCTCCTCCTGCTGCTCCTGCTCCTTCTGCTGCTCCCGCTCCTCCTGCTCCTCCTGCTGCTGCTGCTGCCACTACTACTACTACTACTTCTCCTGCTGCTACTACTACTACTACTGCTGCTGCTTCTGCTGCTACAACTAGTACTACTACTACTACGACTACTACTACTACCACTACCACTACCACTACCACTACTACTACTACTACCACCACTACCTAACTACTACTACTACTACTTCTGCTGCTGCTGCTGCTGCTCCTGCTACTGCTACTGCTACGGCTCCGGCTACGGCTACTGCTACTGCTACTGCTCCTCCTCCTCCTCCTACTCCTACTCCTACCCCTACTCCTTTGTACTCCTACTCCGACTGCTGCTGCTGCTGCTACTGCTGTGTTTTTTTGTTATTGGTACTACTACTACCGCTGCTACCATGGTTGCCGCTGTCACCACATATGAAGACCGCCGCTGGTAAATCATACGATTTGCTGTTGGGATCATGATTTTCGTACCATGTTTTTTTTCTACCTCATATGTTCAGTGAGCGAACATGAGCGAACTATATAATGATTGACACAAAATTCCGCAACCTTCATATGTTCAAATTGATCAACTCAACGGAAAGACATGGACGAGTTCTTCCAGCAAACTCGTGTTCATCGAAACCGGGGTTTCAGGGTGCTGGGATGACTGCGGGTGAGGTGAACAAGACTGAGAAGATCCCAAGCTTCTTCGCCATCATGGGCCTGAACATGGCCACAGGACTGCTGCAGACAGCCTGCAACAATGTGGAACAAGAGGTGCCATGGTTATCCATGGTCAAAGTGTCCCATGTCCTTTGATCCATTTCCTTAAGCTGATCCTCCCCCCGAAGACCCCTCAGGTGAAGATGGCCACGGCCTTCCTGCACGCAGAGTCGGTGCCTTGTGGTGCTTTTGGTTCGGGTCCGAACTTGCCCTAGGTCAACCAATCTCCGATTTTGGAGCAGTCTTTGTTGGGCATTGTTGTGGAGATCTCCGTTTGCATCCATTTGCACAGTCTACAAATCGGTACATCCATATACTGTACCAATCTCCATTCTACACCAGTCTTTGTGGGGCAGAAAAACAACGACCGTGGACATGTAGACATAAGGACCATAAGGAGACACCGGGATGTTTGGGCAACCTTCGAACCTGGGTTTCAGCCAACCAATTCTTGGAGGCATCCTTCATCGAAGGGTGGGTTCATGAATCAGTGGGACCAGGAACATCAATCAATATAATCAATCGAATCGTGACCTGCACTCAATTTGTTGGGACGCTGGTGGCAGAAGAGGCTCCTGGGTATGGATCGCGGATGAGATACTGTTGGAACGCATGTTTGTTGGAGATGCTGCACTGTTGATGGAAGAAATCCATAGAAATCCTACATCACAGAGCGGAACATGCACACTTTCCACAGGGTGTTGAGCATCCTAGTTGGTTGTGAGACTGCACGAACTCGACCTAATGCAATTATATACAGTACAATTCATATTATATATATTTAATACCCAATATATGTATATATATATATTCCATTTTGTTTTTTCCATCAATACCTGCGACTCCATGTGACAGATCGACTTGTTTGCGAGGGCTCGCCACTGGAGAGCTTTGAGTCCGAGAGCACGGAGAAGCTGAGTGGTGTCTTTGAGACGATGCAGCTGGAGCTAGAGAAGGGTGCGATCTGGGCCGCCGCCGCGTTTTTGTCCTCCGGACCGTCAAAATAAAATTACAGTAGAAGGACCGAAGAGACCCAAAGGCTAAAATCATCGGAAGTTCAATGTGCACATACTGCATATACCATACAGTATATCATTAAACATGTATATATAGTATATATGAGGTCCCTGAAGAATCAGGGTGGTGACATGTCATTCTAGCGTCATGAGGATGAGTTGTGTCAAATTGTGATTATATATATATATGGGTTTCAGGGTTGCTTACTGAACTTTAAAGAAGGCAGCGACAACATTAAATACCAAAATATGTTTACAAACATTGCATAGACAAGAGAACATTCAAGGAACATTTGCGGCAACAGCGTCTAATCATATCTTCCTGAGTCTAAGCTTGAAATTTGTGTCACACGACTGGGCCGGAAATCGAAACCAACCTCAGTCACTGCTCGTGGACCGAAGTCAACGTCGCGTCCTCCTACTGAACCCACCGGCCTGCTCCAGGTCGTTTTGATGGTGTGGTTCATGTGATGTTCACTTGTTTTGGGACCGCCAGGTGTCAAACAGGTCGAGATGGGCTTGATGATGCTGCTCGTTTGCAATCCATTACTATGAAATCTTTTTTTTATTGCTTGCTAAAGGAGGCTAAAGGTTACCCTTATATAAGTAGAGATCCCAATCAGAGAAACCATCCACATCCGTTGAAGGGATCCATATTGTGCTTCAGGTCTTGCAGGATGTTTGAGGTGGCGGTTTTGCTGGATTTCTTGAGGTTGGGTCTTTCCTCCTCGATGACAGCACTGCAGAGCAGTTTGGAGATTGCCAAAGAGGAGATCAAGAAGATGAAGGAGCGGTCGGGGTGGGTGGACATCCAATCGGTGGTCGGCATGGATGTGGAACCCGGTCGATCTCATGCCGAGCAGACATGAATTCTTCCTTCCAGCAGACATGATTCGGTGAAACGACCTCATCCATTCGCTCAATCTGAGGATCACTCATTGCTATTGCAGTTCAGGGCATTTCCAAGGGTTTGACCTGCCAGCCACTCTCACCCAGCTACTAAGAGGATCCAGGTTTGGACCTGGACCATGCAGAGGTCTTTGTCCAGTTCACTCCGGTCCTTTGAGCTGAGTCTCCGCCCAGGAGAGCTGCAACTTGGTGGAACCCGACGCCGTGCAGGGCTGCGCCGCCGCCGCCGCGAAGGCACACGAACGCCTCACAGAGACCTTCGAAGCCTGGATCAAGGCAGCTGCTGCTGAGCTGGTGACCAAAGTGAATAGCGCAGAGCAAGAGAAGATGGAGACTTGACAGACTTGGGATCGTCGCGAAAGTCTTGGGATGGAGCAAGAGAAGGCGTCAGTGAGGTTTGAGGTTGGGAGTGGTTTGGGCATGTTTGACCAAAGAATTCGAGAGAAATCATAGACCTGGAGGAAAGAATTCGCGCGAAAAAAAAAAATGCTGAATTGGCCTCACGACTTTGGGGGGTGTTCTTTGACCATCCCCAACCTTACAATGATTCGTTTGGGGGCACCTTGTGAGAATCAGTAAGCCAGAGGCCAGGGTCGCTTCACCTCCTGTTTGGAGGCTTTTGGGCCCAAACGGGTCAGAACAATCACCCGAGAAGGCACTTGGATCCCTAGGGCATATATATATATATATATCGTATGCGGGGGTTGCCAACGATCGCACAAAACATCCACTTGACCCCGTGGAGTTAAAGGTGTCAGACTTCCTTAGGCAGGCTGCAGGCTAATCGTTAAACGTGGTGTTTATGCGTTGTTTTGATTTTAAATTTAGGGTTTGTTCAGGTGCTTATTTATTCGTTGTGTTTGAATTGCTTATTCCGAGGTTAAATATTGTTATATATTATCATGTTGTTTCCGTACTCTCAGCAGCACAAGTGCTGCTGTTGACATGGTCTCCCTGTTTCTTTTGCTGTTTCAAGTGCCTATGCCTATGCTGGGGCCTTTGCTTTGCCCCCCTTTTCACTGGCATGTTTCATGTTTGTCGATTGTGTTTAGCTAGTTCTACTGAGTATGTGCGGTTTTGGGCCCGTAATGACAGAGTCGGTGACGCCCTCTACTCAAGGTTTGAATCTCACTTTGCTTCCAATGCTGAGTAGAGGGAGGGAGACAGACCAGCGGATATCAACAGACGCTTCTATGAGCAAATGTGGTCCGAACTTGTTGTTCAAATCTCAGGGTGTCAAAGGCTTTGATTGCAAAAATTTGTTCCAGAAAGAGGCTTTTGACCAGGGGGGCCGGTTTGCGATGTGTCGCTGCCGCCAAAACCTAGGAGGCCTACAACAAAGAGAAAGTGCCTGCAACCACAAGCATGGTGGATGAGATGGGTGCAAAAGTGGCAAGCTTGATTTCAACAATCGCCCAACAGATTGAGGACGACACTTCGAACTGAGATTGGATGATGTGTTTTTCCATTTCCTTGAGCTGCCTTTCTGAGCAAAACAGGAAAGCGACGGTGCGGCCCGGGCAGTTTGGCGCGGTTTAGGGTGTTGGTTCACTGGTTCACTGCTGAACCTGTTTTTTGTGTGTGTGGGTGGTTTTGCACCACACTTAGTGCTATGCACGGCTTGTTGCAGGCGTGCATCAAGCAGCGTTTAGGAGTCGTTTATATAATATGAGGGTGGCCCAGGGCCCTATATGTCATGCATATATATATATATATAGAGTTATGTCAGTTATTATATATTATATATATATGCAGAGTGCCCGACATACCTGACGTGTTCAGCTGTTCAAATTCTCCTGCAGAATCGCTTCAAGGTTTCACAACAACCACCTCTTGCACCTCGCTATTGACTTTGCACATATATGAGGGGGTCGAGCATGGAGGGTTGGAGTCTCACGAGCCCAAAAGTCGCAGGGCCATTGATCCAAGGCCACTCAATCATAGAGGAGTCCTTCGAGCTCTACCCGGACCGTGCCTTGTGGAGGGATGAGGGGTCAAGAGAGTAAAGCACCAGAACCACCCAAAGCACACTGCGTAGATCATGGGTGCTGTCAGACTCCCTCATTTGATGCAATCATGAGATTAATGAAAACTGCCGCTATTCATTTGGTCGGGCTGCCCCTGGACTGCCAATGTCTCAAATGTAGACTTCACCTGCTGTATGGGGTGACAAGAGATGTGTTGAGCACATGTGAGAAGAGATGTGCTCAAATGGCAACCACAGTCACTCCAAAACAAAGCACTTTCCGACCGCATGTTTTTGGACCCAAGAGGCTGTTACGTTGCTCCAGAGATGTTTTGGCTCGTTTCACTTGAGCTACAGCCACAGCCACAACCGCTATAGAAAACCTGTTGCTTGCTGGTTAGTTGATTGGTGAAATTATTGGAGCTTGTTGTAGACCTTGCGAATGATGAGGAGTATCATGACCTCTTAGTTTGGCCAATGGAATTTATTATTGGACACCGCTATTAATACAAAATGAACTTCTCAAGTCAAGGGCCAAATGCATATTGGTCATGTTTTGAGATTGCTTTCACCTCCTTCAAATTCAGCTTTAGGATTAACAGTTATATACCAGTGTTGAGTTTTGAGGATCAACAGGTGGAGTAGCAGCATCTTCCCTGCAAAAGGCAAGGGCCCGCAAAAGGGGCAAAGTATTTTTGGTAGCTTTACAGGGGATTGGACCCGGTGCCAAGACATTCAAATGCTCAAGAAGAGGCGTTCCAGTATTCCTGTTTTGTTCTCTATTCCCCCACCCCCGCTCAGCATCGCGCTCTCCGTCTCGCGCAGGTGCTTTGGATCAGCTGCTGTGCCTGCACCGCCACAAGCCGCCCTGGACAGCACCTGCGCTCCGCAACAAGCTCTCGGAGATTCCCCCGGAGACGTAGCAGCAACGTAGCGGGACCCAGACTACTACCGGATAAAGCATAATGCTCACGGATTTGTCCACAAATCAGGAACAAGATCTTGTTGCCTAATGAACATCAATCTTGTGGTGGTGAAGCTAAGTGTGAAGCTATATTGGTATATCCCAATGAACGGTTTGGTTGATGTTTCACGCCGTGAAGGGACAGATGGACTTGGCAAAGTTCATTCAGCTCCCAACTGGTCAAAATCACGTTCCACGTGTGATTCGTTGTTTTGTTTTTGCATTGCCCGTAGGAAGAAACAGTTCCCAACAACAGCTGCTGTTCCACCGACAAAAGCTCCCCCCAGAGGGAAACAATTGCTGGTATTACTCTTTTGCATTAATTTATATACTTCCCTGCTGTTGGTGGGTCTTAGACTTGTTGCCTCCTAAACAAAGATAGCAGCGTTTGGAAACTTGAAAGGTAATTTGACTGTTTTGTGCCGCCAGAGTTCCTGTTGCTCAGGAGACTCTTTTCGTTTTGGCACGCTCAAGCTCCGGTACTTTGCTGCTGTGCCCCCTGGCGCACAGGGGCTCGAGCTCAAGCTGCTGCCTTCGAGGGAGCGCTCGAGGGCTGGATGACTTTGAGCTGGTGTCCCTCAGTGCCTTGGTGGATGCGACCAAAAGCTTGCCGCACGCCACGTGTAGTCTCCAATAAAGTTGGATCTGAATTTGTGCAGAGTCCCCCACCACCCAGGTGGTGGTAGTGGCGGTGGGTGGTAGCAGTAGGAGCAGTAGTAGTGGTGGTGGTGGTCGTCGTCGTCGTAGCAGCAGTAGTAGGAGTAGTTGTTGTTGCTGCTGTTGTTGTTGATGTTGTAGGAGTAGAATAATTCAAACCTCAGTTGTTTTCTTCCGGGGTCACAGGGCTCCAAGTTTGTGCAACAATCCGGCCCCCCCAAAACAATTCGTTCATTTTTCACTTCCCCTGTGCTTGTGTACTTTCCCCCGTTGAAAACATGTTTAGGGTATTTATATCGGTGAGATCTTAAAGCGGGAAACAATTCAGATAGTAGAAAGCTTCCTCGGCAAAAACATTATTCCGGTCGACATAAAGGATTCTGAGGAGGCGGTGGGCAAGGAGAGTTACTGCAACCTTGGTGGATATATAAAATAACACATTCGCATACCATCGCATACCTATATATATATATAATTCTATTTATATTGCATGAATTAAGAGCAAGTTATACACAGTCAGATTGTAATAGTAATATTGTATATGCTGATGCATATATGTATATATGTTTGGAAAGGTGGTTCAGGAGAGTTTGTGGGTTGAAATGAATGAAGGAACCTATGAGGAAGGTTGAGCTTTCATGAGTGCCAAAAGTTCGTTCAACACATTTGTGGGGTGCAAATGTTGTTTGTATTTACTGATCTTTAGGGGGGGCTCCTGCAAACCAAATAGTTGTTCATACCGATTTGATATTCTGAGTATTAGTTCAAAGCCCTTTTACACCACATAGTTGCTATTATGTTTCAATATTGTTTAGTTACCCTAAGCAGATATGTTTGGGTTCAATGCGCCCATCCAATCGCTTTTCAACATCAACCTATGTGGGCAATGCTTATGTGTTTCTTGCATTCTATGCTTTGAGCCGGTGAATCCAATGACATTGGTTTGTGGTGATTCCGTGATTCCATTTGCACCCATGTTTGAGAAGTCTTTGAATCTATACTGTGCATGGTGTGGGAACAATGTCATGTTTATTCATTTTGTTTTTGTTCCTTCCCCCGTGATGATTTTCCAACATTACAAGCGGCGTACTGCAGGCAGATGCATGGCGCACATGTTGCATGTGCAAACACATGCGCACAGTACACATCATCAACAATTACACGTCTAGAAGTTCCCCATCCACAACCTGAGAAACATATATACACAGCACATGCACACAACACGCACAGCAATCATAACATATTACAACAACCTCACTCAATAGCTGGACAAAGGGGACATAAGAACACCATGCAGCTCGCAGTAGCCATGCTGAGATGACAACCCTGTCTACCACCTCAGCTGCACCACAAACAGGTTGGGCATACCGTGACAGTGACAATAGCACTGAGGTGAAGTGATTTTGATCAGGTGATCTTGAACCGAACCTAGCATATCCTGGCATTTTCGCCCAGCCTCAACCACTTTTCCCCGAACCGACTCCAAACTGAGGACACAGTTCCCCTGCTCAACCGCTGCAGGAGATTCGTCCTGCACTGCCGCGTTGCTCCTTTTAGCCCTTGAGCTGCCGCCCCACGTGATGGCCAGCACCGCCGCCTCCTGGGCCGCGGAGCGCGTGGCGGCGCGCGTGGGCGGAGCGAGGCTTCGGCGGGAGAGACTCGTTCTGAGTCCATCGGAAGAGCCGCCATCGGGTGTCCCAAAGAGGTCATGAACTGGAGTTGGTCTCAAAAACCTTTTGATGTTGGAAAGAAAGGTCGGACAAGTGAAGATCGTGGTTTTGGAAACACCCCGTCGTGTCCCCGTTTAAGACTCACTGTGTCCATTTGTTTCCCTCAGGAAGAGGCTGCCCTCTTTGTTTACTCGCTGGGGCTGGTGCAGCTGGGATGCTCATGGAGTTCAAGTGCAACGATGGCAGTTGGAAGCCATGAGCAACAAGTCGTGAGAGTTTGGTTGGCAGTGCAGGTGTGTTGGAAGCAGAAAGGCATGAGGAGGTTCTGTGAGAAATTTCCAGCCAGCAGTGCCCAGCAACCTTGGAAAAGTGCTTTGTGCTTTGAGGCTAGAGGTGATCTTAGAATCTAGCTACTATAAGTCATCTAGCCTTTCTGTTACTGTATTTTTTGTGGGGGGCTGACTCAACAAGATAAAGCTGCTTGACACGGGAACATTAGCAGATGCAGTCCTTCATTTTGTTCTTTTGGGGCCTGAAGATCTGGAAAACTAAGGCAAACACCATCCAGCGTGGATGGTCTTAGATGATGGCTGGCAGGAGTCGGACCCGTGTAGCAGATCCGAGTCGCAACAGGGAGGATGGTACAAATCAAATTGACACCAGTTGAGAATATATTCGTCACGTGTTTGTGATCTGAAACAGGTGCATCCTGAATGTCAGCTCGTGAATGTCATTCCAGCGAACATCCATCTTCCTATGCATATGCCTATTCAGATGGGGGCTCGTTCGCACAAAGCAGTGCCTTGGTGGGTTTCTGGTGGTGGCCGATTGAGAGATGATTATAGATGCCAATGTTCGCTAGGCCTTCGTGTCTACAGTCTACACTTGATCTAGCGAGTGTACAGTGATCTCATGGAGAAATGTCTCACATGGTGCTGTACACCACCCTCCCCTGGAAGGGCTTTTAGGGGTGGATCAGATCGCAAGTCGGTGTGTGTCTGTGTGTGGGTGAGTTGTGGCATGTTTGACCAGATAGACTATAACTACTGAGAATGCCTGAGAAGAAAAGACGATCTCCATTGTATTGATCTTATGTATATATTCACATACAGTTTCACATACATATACGCAGTATATATATATATATTATTATGTTTAAACTCAATGCCGCATGCATACCCTAAACTAAAACAGTCCCCCCCAAAGCTCAGTGGCCTTCTCACCGCAGCTTCTCGCTTCTCGCAGGAGGAGGTGCGCCCCGAAGAGTGGCGCCAATGGCTCCACACGCCCCAGAGCCGCTTTGGGGCGAAAGACTTTGATCTCAAAGAGCTCACGAGCCAGCTCTCAAAGGCAGGGAGACCTATTATATTTTTGCTGCTCCACCAGCGGATGATCAGAGTATGATTGGCTGCTGTTTGTCGCCGAACATGCGCACGGTTCGCTTTTGTTTCTTTTGTTTTTTTGTGTGTGGTGTTTGGCGTTCTTCCAGACATGCACATTTTACTTGCAAGGGTCATGTTCACATGACTGGTAGGTTTCGTTTGGCAGTTGTGTTGAATTTGTAGGGGCATTTGGCGACTAGTTTTGTTACAGCAAAGATCAAGCTATATTGAGCTAAGTATATTTTTTGTGATAACCATGTGTCACTGGATTTCACAAACTATACGTTTTTTTATACAGACTATTTTCTCACTTGAATGTCATCTCGAGGATTTCTTTGCTTCACACGCCCTCATCTCGGCATATTTTTGTTCAACCCTGGAATGTCCATCAACATAATTTTTACGGCCCACTGGTGGTCCTAGGTCATAGCCGCCATTGCATGGACCGGGACATGCGAAGCAAAGTGACACTTTGATGAAATCCCGCCAGCTCTAAGTTGACTCTCAATAAACCCACCATCACTAGACACTGCATTTCAAAGGAATAATATATTCCCAGTGCTTTTTGTGGTGTTCGCTTGGATCAAATCAACTTGTTCCGCTTGGGCTTCCTATTTTTGCATTGCTAAGTTCAATCTGGTGTTCCGAAGTGGATAGCATGGTCTGACGTGTTTGTTCTACCAACTGGAGGAAGAAGATATTGCGGTAGTGGCCTTAGCCATGGCCTCTGCAAGTTTGGGGGGGACAACTGTTCGTTTCAAGGCGTGCTTTTGGAACAGCTTGGGGGGAAGTTTATGAACGTGTCCTTATTATCTCCATACCGACCCAATATGGCAATGTACAGGTCCCCTGGAAGAAGGAAAATAGACCACGAACCCCTGTTTGAAGGCACCCCTCTATTTATATATATACTATACACATACATTGCATACACATAATCATAAGTGATGAAATCATATGTATAGTTATATATATATATATATATACATATGCTGGGACCAGTGAGCTCAGCTTCCGAACCTGTTTGTGTAGGATTCGATCAAGCTTTTGGTATGGCATACTCTCCTCGGCTACTGGGGCGGCGTGGCTCCCGAGCGCGGCTTCCGCACCCGAAACCTGCGGCCGTGGTGGCCCAGTGGCCTACGGGAAGGATGCCCAGGTGACCTGGCCTGATGAACTGGCTTCAGGGAGATGTTGAACAAACGGTGAGACCATGTCGCACCCAAAGGTAATTACTTTAATTTGAAAGAGACTTGTCATACCCTAAGATGCCTTGAATATGGACGATCTGAAGCACACCATGACGATGTATGAGCTATTGTTTGATATCCTCCAATTGAAATTTGTGCAGGACAAAAGGCTGCACCAACACGACCTCATAAGCATGGAAGTGGCTCATTTGTTCAAGATCAAGGAGTTGGTGTGGGCTCTCAAACCTGAATTTCAGAGCGTTTGTTGAGCCAGTCTACCTTTCTTTGTTGGGTTTTTCTTCCAAGCCTAAAATGAGTCCCACCCGATGCCTTGAATCCTTCCACTGCTCGTTCCTGACAGTATCAGGCGAGGTGGATGTGTGGGAAGGTGACTTTTCGCCCCTGGAGAAGGAGGACGCACCCGGAATCGGCACCCGGACTTGCATGCGCATTCAGTGGAACGTGTATGGGGCAAAGAGGACGCTCATCACTTATCATTCCTGTTTGAAACTATTGGCATCTCTTGGCTCTCGGAGCGAAAAAATCCAAAGTCCCAAGGCGGATTTGGTGGGCAGTCGATCAAGAAAAACTGAAACCCTTGTCATCCCTATGACATCTTAATTACTATTACAAAAGTTAAAATGTTTACCTTAAATGTTTTGTGCAAATGCGGAAACCGGATTTTGCGAGGTGCACATGTCCTTTGAATCTATAGAGATGGGAATTCCACTCTGATCTATCGCCCGAGGCATGCTAGCCCACCCGTGCCACTAAACTGAATGAAGCTGGTCTTCACACCGTGTTTTGAGTACAGTTGCCACACCTGCTCATTGAAGGACAATTATATACAACCGAACTTAGGTCAGAGCAGCTGGTCTCCAAACTTGCGTGCTTTGCGTTTTTGTTTTCGCCAAAAGTTGATCACGCAGGACTTCCTTCGCTTCTACCGTGAGTTCTATGAAACGTTGGCCTCGGCGGGCGTGGCGGGCGTGAAATGTGATGGCCAATTCCTCGCGGAGGTGCTGGTAGGCAAGGGATGGCTGGTGTTTTTCACGCGAACTCATTTGCATAAAGACGACCACACAACATGTGTATGCTGCTTTCTTGACCAACATGCGTATGTTTTCCCATTCGTGTCAACTGAAGTGGTCCAGACCAGTGACCTGTTTGGCAAGTTTGTCTTTATCTGACACAATTTCGTCAACAGGGGGTGGATGAAAAGAGCAGTTGGACTGCCAAGTCGTTTTGATGGGGATATGATATGATTGGATGATACGTCATATTAATAGAGAGAATGGTCCAGTAGGCATAGGCGAGTTTCTCGCTCCGGAACGAGGGAATGGTGGGTGGAGATTTGCACTGGGGAAGTGTTACTGTACACTCAAATTAGCGAATGCGTTGTCTATGTCGGGGATGCACTGTCACGTGAACTCTAGAGGCGTTCCGCACTAGTATTCGGAAAAAGAAAAAAAACATGCGGAATAATGCGGATATATATTTGAGGTGTTGTGTGTCTGTGTGTGACAGGGTGCGCATTTCAGGACCTATAGATGTTAGCCAGCGGCCAGCGTCTTCTATGTTGGCATCTCCTGCTGTTGATTGTTTTTTTGGATCTTGTAATGCACCATTGACCTTCATTCTCTTTTAGTTTACCAAGTCCTGGTTGCTCTCAGGACCGGTGTTCCCCGCGGCCCCAGCACTCCCGATGAGCAGCTGCTCCATGTTAGGAAGCACCTGTGTGGATATATGATATAGGCATATATAGGATGATATATATATAAGGCTCTAAGGGGCCTGTTCCATGGAGAGTATTCCCCAATTTCCTATTTGGTATGCATCAGTCGAATGCTCATGTGTTCTTATCCCTGCGGGCTTTCAGTGTATTGGACGCGACATGCCACGAGACCTGGGACGCGCCTCCGACGCAGGCCCCAGTGGCGCGCAAGAGCTGGCTGCAGCGCAGGAAAAGGCCTTGGCGGCCTTTGGCCCTTCAGATGTGCCTGTGATCAGCCACTGGGTTTTCGGGTCAGGCTCTTTGTGTTTGTTCAACGCCAGCAGAGAGAGAGAGAGAGAGAGCGAGAGAGAGCGTTGACGTGGAGTCGGAAGATTTTCCTTCTGGCGTGGAGTTTAGTGTGAAGGACTGTCGGAAGAGCACTTCAATGGTTGCTTGGGGGGGGTGTCCGTTGAAGGCACTTTAAAGTATACTCCGGGGCGGTGTTCAGCCTGATTCAATGGCCTAATCTCTTCATGGAAAATGTTGGACGCCGAAGCGAAGGGTCTTCCTGGTTGGTCCAGGTGAACTCAGGAGTGGAGCACGAGAGTTTATTACAACTGTTTGGTAAAATTGTGCGAGAGATTCAGGCTGATGACCGGACACCGAGCGAACTTATATAAATCGGCAAACACTTTTTGGAACTCAAACATCTTGGAGGGGCGAGGTAATTAGTACCGGATGGTGCTGATAGATAGATAGATAGATAGATATTATACGATTATTAGCCAGTAAACTAGGTGGGCTCCATGCTAACTCCATCTCTTGTACAACGACTAACTACATATTTGTCAGCCTACAAACCTTGCAGAAGAGCCCCAATCACAAGCATCGGGGGCATCACGGGGATCTCTTCTTTGCCTTTTGGACTGAGCACAACTCAGTTAAGGTTGTATGTCCATGACCCTCCCTATGGTGCATGGGGGCTCAGCAGTGCTGGCTCGCGTCTCGGACGACCACGCGTATCCGGGAGTGCCAGAGGATGCTGCGTCGGTCGCACGTCACATTTGGCATTGCTCCACCAACTCGATTTGGTTGGCTCCGTTTGAAGCTTTGGCGTGCTGAATAAACTTTGGGTGCCTTTTTCCCAGCAAACTTAGTTGCCGCCAACATAGTCTAGCATAGTACTGTTCCACAGGTTTAAGAAATGTAAGAACATGTTTCCTCCGAAAGAGTCAATGAGTTGTGTCCCCCCTTCTTTTAGGTTTTGCCTTGGGACCTGTGAACATCCAGCAGTTCACAGCGATGCACATCCCAACCCTAGAGGCATATTGCGAGACATTGAGAGATTTGTGACTTTGAAAAGGCCATGCACGTCCCACATCATCTGATCCCAAAAAGCGACACACCCTTGGGCCCACCAGGGAGGTGTCGTTGTGAAGTCAGAGACCTGCAGACGCAGAAAAAGAGAGAGAGAGAGAGAGAGAGCCAATGCAATCGTTTTGACTCTGTAGGCAATCCATGGCAATCCTGTGATTGGTATGTGCTATGTATGTACTATGATAATGAAAATCAGCAAGATCGATGTTTGATTCATTCCACTGCTGGACTTCACAAATTTCCACGGGCTGGACTTGTGAAATGCATTGGCAGAGCTGCACCAAGTGTGTGCAGGGACTAGCTAAATGTATAGACAGGATTATATAGACCAGTAACAAACAGTATAGTTATATAGATACTGTAAATAAATCTTTGTAGAGAGAACGCCAGAGAAAAGAACAAAAACAACGGCTGAGGTTCACTGTGATTGGGACATGCTGAAGACTAGCGAGTGGCACGGCACTATCCATGCCGTAGCACGAGCGGTGGCAGGGTGTCCAGTACCTTTGACTGGGATGGGATTCGAGTTATTTTGGTTTCGCCTTTGGTGGTGCTGGGCTTCAAGAATCAAGGATTACCCCAGGTAAGTCGTTGTGTTGTGGCGGGGAGCTATCTACAATGCCATTGCACTTTTGAAACCTTTCAAAGGTGCTTGAACTGCAAAATCTTCAGTGTTCTGGGGTACACAAATATACTGAATCAGAGAGTGTCTCCAGCAGTTTCAGTCTCATCCAAAGTTTGTTCGATTAATTGTTTCACTGAGAAGTCCTATTGTGTTGAACCGACCCATCGCGGCCAGTTCAAGAGTATATCCAGTATCCAATCCATTCAAATCCATTGAATGTGTTTAATGCTCGTTCGCTGTTTTTCCGTAGAATGAAAGTTTGCAGAGTTCCTGGGTCCTGTGTCATGACGGGATGCACAGAAATCTCACAGGCCACAGGCCGTTTTGTTTCACATCTCTCAACACGTGTGGCAGGTCACCATGGTCACACGGCTCCCTGAAATGGGGGCCGTTCCCTAGAGCCTTGTCCATGGCTCCCTATGCACTGTTTTCCGTCGACTCTCCGGATGCTTCGTGTAGACATGTGTCGACCCCTCCAGACCCACCGATCACAAGGCCTCGTAGGTCTACACCAGCAATCCGTTGTGCCGATCAGAGGTCTACACCAGCGATCCGGCCGAGCACTTCAACCTCGAGATCTTGCGCCCCTTGCTGCTCCCAGGCAGCGATCAGGCACCATGAGATGGGGTAGGATGGAGCTCGGAAACCAGATCGGACATGGTCGGAAACCATTTTGGGGGAGATGGAGGGTGATACAAAAGAAGAACCAGAAGATGTTGGACTACACGTGTTGGATGGAGGATCATCATGTAGCAAATGTTGTTTCATGTTGTTTCCATAGTCCAAGGTGTCCATGGGGTCCGGTTGGAGGCGGGTGTCGACAACGGTCAACGACCTGTCCGGTTCTGAAGCATGCGTTCCATATTTATGGTTGGACGATTCGAACATCCAAGGCACACAGGGGATGTGAGGGGCGAAAGAGAGGCCTGCTGGTGAGCTCAAGTGCGTGCTTTAACACCTAAGATAAACGAGCCTCCATGCCAGCCGTAACGTGCCCATTCACGCAACATCGGGAGAAGATGGAGGTGCAGCGAAAATGTGTGTTGCCCCTCCAATTCAGCCACGAAGACGAAAAAGACAGCTCAAGCCTTGTTGTTGAAAGGAAAGATAGATTCTCTCTTCCAACTGCTTTGCTAGGCCTAGGTGTCCACAATGACATTTCAGGCAGAGATCCTGCCGCTCTTAGGGAGAAAGAAACACTCAGCGCCTTTCAACTCACAGACGCAATGGAACTCCTTGCTTTTTGGTCCACCTCCTCCAGGAGAAAAGAAACACATGTGAGTGGGTTGCAGAACCTCCAGAGGGCAGACAGCGGGCCAAAGTTGGTCCTCATCCCGCAGAATATGAAGGTTTCATCACAGCAACTACAAGGTCGCAGGATCTTGGGACTTCCATGGAGCTTGGACGGACTTGATGAGGCCATGAAGTACTGATTTGAGCTGAGGACTACGAACATAGATGCGTTGCGCTTGGATCAGTGGATCAGACACTTCTTGACCTAACTTCGTAAACCTCATGTTTTTGCATCCCATGCCAGGTGTGCCCGTGCCTGCACGCTGGCTTGCCAATCGACCGTCAGATCTTCCAGGACCCGACAGTGAACAGGCGTGATCCGTGGCAAAGTAGAAGACCCCTCAGACCGAGCTGTGGTCTCCACGTCCATTGCGGCGTCAAGTGGAGCCCTTGAACATGTCCTTGAACTCTCCAATCTCTCCACAACTTCTTGAATTCGTTTGAACAACGCCCAGGCCATCTCAGGCGCCATCTCCCCATGCCCTTCCCAGGCGCCCCTGGTGGCTCCTCAACTCCACCGCGGGCGGTTTCATGGCCGCCGCCTTCGGGCTGTGCGACACTGGAGCTGAGGACCGGACTCGCCGGACGCTCCGAAGCGAGACTGGAGCGAAAAAGAGAGATCTGAGCATGTGTTGAGGAGATCCACAAACGTATCCGGGATTCCGGGATCATATCTGATATCATCTAAGTTATAATTGTTCATGTCTAAGATGCAATTGATGATATATCCAATCCTAACTGGAGAAAGACGTTTGGCATGTTGGAGCGTTCGTACGAACGAGTTGTGTTGATTGATGGCGATGTTTCTTGTTAGCTTCCGGTCAATTACTATGGCCCTCAAATCCATTCAAAAGGTCAACAGATTGAGCCATACATCGCCAGCAGCCATCATCCAGTGACCCGAGAATGATAATGAATCCTTTTGATCGTCAGATTCCGCCCCTGTGGCCCAGGAGATGACCGAAACCTTGTATCCCCTGGACTGCCATTTGGTCAAGGAGCCACTCGCTCAGTGAATGTCCGGGACCAGGGTATTTGGGCCACATGTACTGCCAACATTTGCCAACACATGTGCAATTTGTTGGGGATCCACATTCTGAGGTATTTGGGGATGTTTGGAGTGGGGTATACATAGGGTTCAACTATATATATATACCTTTTGAATTCTTTAGAGGATGCAATTCGATCCCTAAAGGGTATATATAGAGAACTTGTGGGTGGGACGGCCTCACAAATGACCGTCATCGATTGCAAGTAAAGATGCTGGAGAGCATGTCGAAGAGTTTTCTTTGAAGACTCACCGAGATGCAGTGTTGCATTCTTCAGGCACGCTTGCCTCCAAGTAAGCTTGGAGGGACTGGGGCACGCTGCGCCCTTCAGCGACGCGGGCTGGGATGTGCGTATGCACTACATGGGTTTCGCAGTTCTGGCACTGGCCCCCATCTTGGACTTTGGTGAGCAACTCAGCAAGATCTATGCACAGATGATCGTGGCACTTCTTAGGTGGAACAAACACCGTCTCCGCTCATCTCTTCAAAGAACATGTGAACCTTAACACCGTGGGCACTGGGCGAGATCATGACGCGATCCATTAGAATCAAGAGCACCAATGTGGGTGCACCATGATCCAGTTTCCATTGGCGCTGTTGACTCCAACTCGAAGGGCAGTCTTTTGTGTTGTGTTTTGTTGCATCGGTTTACCCTTTCATTCGATGCACGTAGGCGCGGTTTCGACGGCTGCTCGAAGTTAGGTTTCGGTTTGGATGACTGCACCCATACCTGTAATGGTAACAGGGATCTCCCTGAGGTAACAAGCGAAAGAGCCAAGCACGTCTTACTCGCACTCTTGGGAAAGTGCGTGGGACCAGCTTTCCTTCGAGCTGCTGGTTGGTCTCGATGATGGTTTTGAAAATCAATCATGTTGATGATCAGTAAGACCTCTCCGACTCTCTTTGCCAAAATGCTCAGCCCTGACTCAAGCAAGAGGATCCGCCCCTATCAGGCCAGTTCTAAAAGGATCGCAAGAGAAACCAAACCGGACAATGATCAGCCCGTCCCGTCCGACCTTCCGAATCGCTCCCCGGTCGGACAGCCGGACGCCTCGGGTCGGACCGAGCGACGAGGCACCGAGTGGCGATCTTCGGCCTGTCAGGCCTTTGGAACCCCACGGGCAGCCTGCTGGGCCGATGGACGGATCCAGAAGGGCTGTGACTTGGAGAGGACTAGTTCAAAGGGGTCACTGAAGCACTGACATTGGGTGATATTATACAATATAGTTTTTTTAATATTATATATATATATTAGTATTACTATTTATTGTTTTCCATTCCTTTTTGTTAATTACTATTACATGACATAAGATCAGGAAGAGGTTTTCTGGTGGAATGCGACCTCCATCTTCTAAGTGGTGCATCCGATATCCTTTTCCTTATGACCAAGCTGAGTCATGGCTGCAGGCATGTGCAGCTGCATTGTGCGGGCCAGCTGCTTCTTTGGAGTTCGGGCACCTTTCAGACTACCATTGATGGGTGCCAGGTGACTTTGAGTGGCGGCCTTAATGCCGCTGCTTGGACATTAAGTCTAGGTTCAGCAACAATTTGAGTGGATTTTTCCGCAGAATTTTGGGAGTAGCCGAGTGTAGTCATAGAATGTCAAAGGCATGTCAATGCCAAAGGCAGCTGTGTATCCGAAACATCAAACCAGGCTATGGTCACATGTTCCACTGCTCGAACCCCTTTTCCTTCGCATTGGCCCACCTGTAAGCGTTCTGCGCGCCGGAGGTTCCGCTGAATCAAAAGGAGGTGGTATTTGCATTGGGCTGATGTCGTTTGCGAATGTCATCAGTGATCATCCGGGTCCAGGGGCCCCGATCTCGACCCTCCATCCACGACGAGTAGATGCCCACGGTCCATGAGAGGTAAGTAGATGTGAAACGACGGCCCAGTGCGACAGCCCACCGGAGTGGCCGGCGATGTGGAAAAGTGGGTGGTTCCGCGGAAGTGCAGGTCTGCAGGCATGTTCATGTTTTTTCATTGTTTGTCGATTATTTTTTGATGTTTTTTTTTGTGTTTTTGAAGGTTCGGACTCATTTGTGAGAGCTTGGTTCGATCCACATGTTGTTCCAGTTGCACATGGCGGGAGTAGGACATAGTGGGGCTATAGGGGTCTTGAATGGCAAGGGCACTTGATGAATTTTTCAAGAGAAAACGCACAAACTCTCCAACTCACTGGTGAGGCAGATCAACGTGGATGGCACCTCAGCGAGCCTCCAGCTGGATGGCCGGTGGACCTAGGGGCCTCGTGGACCCCGGTGTCCTGGGGCCGTTGGACTCGATAGAAGAGTTTGGAAGCAAATACGAGGAGCTTGGAGGGGTTAACTCGGTTTCACAGATGTGCCTTCCAAGATTGAGTTTTCCTGTGACATGACCCACATGAATCGTTTTGATTAGGTTCGAATAGAACATTTTGATGACTTTCAAAAATAAGAGAAGATTTGTAGCGCGCGCAGTTTGACTACTATGTGTTTAGATAATATGTTAAACAAGTTCAGTCAATATCTCCGCCCAAAGATACGGTTTGTTGGTCACTATGAGTCACTATGTTCCAAGAGCTTTGCTGGGAGTTAGACTAATTATATGCGATCTGGTCTGTTAGAGTTCATATACGGCACATGGACCTTGTCGCATTTGTGCGCAATGCTGAGGATTGACTCCGAACCAAGTGTGCGCAGGGCCGGGAATGATCGATCTTGAGGTCATAAGGGCTAGGTATCAGGTGGACTGCAGGTCACCTTCAGGTGAGTGTTGGAAAGACATGCTTGGAAACACCTGGATAAAATCGAGGATGGCGAAAACGGGTCATCAACGTGCAACATCTCAACGATAGAGTCTCGACCCTCAAAAGCACCCCCAACTGATTGGTCAATATGCCAGTCCCATAGAGTGTTGGTGAACCATCATTTAATCAAAGAGATTGTGGAGAGAAGATCCTTTCTGAAGATGTGATTTTCCACAAGGCTCGAGAAGTGTCCGTGTCAGGGAGAGGGTGGAGCCGGTGGTTGGCTTGAAAGAGGGGGGCTTGGTGAGTGAGAAGGGGAAGAATCCGACCCTACGTGGTTTCACTTTCGTTATATCAGCAATAAGTTACAATAATAGTTCATTTTGGCGACAGGTTGCAGCACCCTTGTTTGCTTTGAAGGGCTCAGCACCCATCTCAGCAGCCAGGCCCAATATGACCATCACGTGCAACGTGATTGAGACTCTGGGTGGTTCTGATGTGTTCTTCGACCTTTTAAGTCACCCCGTTTTGGGAATCTTGGCCTACTTGCTTCTAAGCTGGGAACCGCTGAAGATTCACTTGTCTCCTCACTGGATTGAACATGTCAACCGAAAACAATTGAGAGTGCATCGGAGAACTCCTTTGGCCTTTGTACTTTGTATGTTTGTGTTTGTGATTCGACTCACAGCGAGACTGAAGCAGCCAGTCATGTTCATGAACGGTCAAAGATGTGTAACCATGTAACCTGAGTAAGGGTGACAGGCCGAATTGTTCACAGCCACCTTTTGGGAGGTGCCGAGCCTCCGGAAAGAAGGCCACTAATAGCTTCTGAATCTCTGAAACATTTTAGATATGTGCACACCATCAAGTGTTGCATTTAATTCCAGATGCCAAACCGTCCTCGTCATCAACATCAGCGACAAAATCACACTCCTATAGACTCTAGACATACCGAGCCATCATAATGAATCAATCCCCTTCCAAGGATGTTGGATCTCGCAATCCAAGAGTTCAGTAAAGGTTTGACATGTTGATTGAGGAAGCCACCACAAATCACATTTGATGCTTGGATTATGGTTTGAGCCTTAGCCACCTGTTGGTTTGACTTGTTTTTGTCCAACCTCTTCAGCACGTCATTGCAATGGCGCCCAAGGCTAAGGAGACTTCAGCTGCTCCGTTGGTCGTTAGTCGTATGTTACTAGTCGTATCATCGGAGTACGATTGGAGTCGGAGTATGAGTAGGATGACCCGTGACACCGGCCGTGCCCCCCAACAGATCTTGAAACAGAGGGCCGCAGTTTGCGGATGACATGTGGAGTGTTTGCAGCAAGCAAATTGGCGAAACGCTACTTAATAGTTTTTGTATGTTTTGTTGTTTTTCTTTTGGACTTTCAGCTGCAGCTCATTACTCACAAGCAAACCAATTAAACTGTAAGCCCGTAAGAACTTTAGCTGATGCATACTTACATATATATAATATAATATATATACATAGCGTATGCAGCTTGAAAGCTTAAAATCAGAACCCAATGTACCATGCTTTGGTTCGCATACTTTATGCCAGCGTGTGACGATATGGCCATGAGACTGAGCGTTGGCTTGACTCTGATTCTGCCATGCGTCGGACCATTTTGATTTAAAAAAGAAACACTAGTAGCTTCTTGTTCCTAGTAGTAAGGCCAGAAGCCCCTAGTAGCGTCCTTGCTCCTAGTAGCGATGCCCTTTGCTCCTAGTAGCGTTTTTATTCCTAGTATGTAAATGATGCATCATTGACCCTGAGGATTCAATTTGACCCTGACATCTTGCTCCGCAAGACATGTCCTCTACTGTGGCGCAGCATTTTGCCCATCAATGGTTCCTGTTCAAATCTCCAAACGGTCCTTCCCAGAACGGCCGGCATTGTTCCTTATGTTCTGCTATTTGCACAACATGTTATGAAGCGATATTGGTGGTGTAAGGTTCCACAATTGTTATGTGATGTTATGTGGAACCTTGAGCCAATATCAGCAATGTGCCGCTTATTCAAACTCTACGACACCTGAGATGGGCTGACTAGCCTCGTAGCATGGAGCAGCGGATCCAAAGTATCTTTGCTCAACCAGCAAATAGTCTCCAAGAATCTTGAAAACTGTGTAGTTGGGCCTGATTTGTGCAGCAGGTATCATAGGATCATAGGTATCACATGACTGTCACCAACCCCCGACCCCCAAAGGTCAATGTTGAACACGGCTTCAATGAATTTGTGTCGCCAGGGCTTGATTTGTTTCGTCCATTTGCCGAAACACTCTGGCAGGCTCACTAACTTTGAAGGGGTCCAAGGGGTTGGAAAGGACCGCACCCCTTTTCGCGCGGCCTGCAGAGGACGTGGCACGTCCCAAGGGCCGCAGCAGCCACACCGGCCGGAGCCCCTCGCCGGCGCCCCGGCGAAGCCCGTCGCCCGCCCCCCGCGGCGGCGCTCCTGGTGGCGCAAGGGCGTCACGTGGGGGCAGTGCCTCGGTGCGGCCACAGGAGCGGCTGAGGGTGGTGCACTCGGGGATTGGCTTGAGTGGCTTGACGTTTTTGTGTTTAGTACGGTTCTGTTAGATGCTTTGGGTTTGGATGTGATGGAGCAGAGGTCATTGGCCGATCGGGCTGTTTGCAGAACAGAGGAAGGCAAGGTGTCAAGACACACGAGATCGCATGACGGAAGAAAGCACAAATTCAACCTGCATCCCCGCTCTATCACCACATGTGTAGAGCACGGTACGGAGTATGGAGTTGACAATCCATGCGCTTGGGCGTTTACCATTGATGGCTTGTTAATAAGAGAAAACGCACACCTGCCCTAGCAAGAGAGGTTGCATTGGTGCATTTTCTCAGGTGGAGGAACATATGGTGAAACAATCCGGGAGGTTTGTTTGAGGAATCACATCCAGCGCCAGCGCGTAGCTTTGATTCATCACTGAACTCAGAGTTTAATCGTTTGTTCTGGTTGTGGGGAGAACGTCAGGTTGATAGTTTGTCTCCGGATCATGATTAGGAATGGGACTATGGTTGATTGATAGAGCCACATGGTGCCACGTGTGAAATGAACATATATGTTACATTCAAGTTGTTGAGGAAGTGGATCAGACGTCCCATCGCCCCAGGACCCAAAGCTCGATCAGTTCCAAAACAGCTGCAAACCCAACCGCAAACCTGGACTAATCATATTTAAGGACATATTATGAAATTGGCACTTGGATGCGGTTGTTTTCACCTGAGCAGAGCAGTTTTTGGGGGGCCAAAGCCGAAGCTTTTCCTCCAAAAATTGTCCCTGTGGATTGCTGAGGCAAAGAACCCAAATCGGAGCCAAAGGCTGAGCCGAAGAGACTTGTTTTTCGCACATGCGCTTGCTGCGTGTGGCGTGCGTGGATATGATTGATGTGGATCCAAAAGAGGGTTCAGGAGTGCTCGACCTTCCAGACTTGTCAAGTCCCTGGTGGTCCCTTTTCCGAAGAGGTGAAAGAATTGGGCACCGTGCTTTTTTGTGCGGGAAAGAGCACTGGTTATCAATCGGGGCATGGTTTTGATTGGTTTCGGATTGGTCACTTATTGCGGTGCAAACTATAACTATACAGTAGGGACTAGGTGACTAGGTTGCAAACATTACGACACGAGGCCTCGTACATAAGTGTTCTTTCCATTTGCAGGGAGTCAAGTCAGACAGCCTTTGTCGTGCTCTTTGTCGTAGTTCTAAGGAAAGAGGTCGAGAAGAAGGACGAGAAGAAGGACGAGGAGGATGAGGAGATTGTAGACACCGAGGTGGTGGAAAAGCCGCCGCCAGTGGTCACCATGGAGAAGGAGAGTGATCTAAGACCGCGAATCCCGGGCCGAAGGGAAGTCCGGCCGGTCCTTCTTCCAAAAACTGGGCTCGGCCGGGTGTGGGATGTGCACTTGGACTAAAGGCTCGGCCGGGGCTCGCCCACTCCGAGGCACTGGATGTCAGGGGACTGGAAGGCTCGTTGGATCGCGGAGGTTTCTACATGTTTCTACTGCGAAAGGCGAAGGAAGCTATAGATCTTGGATGGGTTAACATACCTTTCCGCATGTGCAAACCTGTTCGTTTCAACCGACTTGTGTGTTTGTGTGTGTGGATCAGACCAATTACCTGTGCCAACGTTTGCCTTGCTTTGGGCTTGCTGGAAACGGGCAGGAGCAGATCAAGAAG